CTGTAGATTGACCTCTCCAGAGCTGTGTAGGGCCTCACTGTGCGGAGGTCCGTTCCACCTGCCCCCGTGCGCCTATCGATCGAGAGCAGTGTTTGGTTCAGCCGGAGCGTTCTCCCCCCGACCCTGATGGACTCTAGCCCGACAAAGTACTCAGCCGTCAAGTTCCCGATCTCGTCGTTCATGTCCGTGGGCACGAGGTTCCTCACCAGTGGTGTGGTGAAGAGAGAGATATTGCGGAAGGGGCCCCAGAAAGCCGCCCGACCCACGACCATCCCGCCCGTCTCCCTGGACGACGGGAGGCAGAGTGTGAACTCCTGTCGGATCCTGAACGTGGAGGCGAGCCGCGCGTGAAGTGAGATCCGCGTGCGGCCCATCCCGACGAGCCCGGCGGTGGGGCCAGCAAGGCCGTCCCTCTGGGTCGGGAAAGTGTACTGGAACGGGAAATATGGGGCCTGGTAGTGGGCCCCGCTGGTGGACTGCATGTAGAGGGTGTCGGTTCCGAGGCCACTGTAGACCTGGGCGCCGGAGAAGGGGTTGAGGGCATAGTCGGAGCAGGTGTTGTTGGTGCAGCCGGGGACGGGAGGGGAGAGGAAGCAGGAGACACAGCCGACGCCGTTGGCCAGGGTGCAGAGGCGGGTCCCGCAGGAGATGGGGCGGTAGGAGGAAGCGGAGTTGAAGTAGTCGAGGGAGTTGAACCACAGGAACTTGCCTCCGAGGTCGAGCACGACGTTGAACGTGGTGGAGTTGGTGCCGATGCTGATGGTGGTGTAGTACTGGTTGGTGGTGGGGTCTTTGTGGATGGGGAAGGTGAAGGCCTCGGGTTTTAGAGGGGTTGTTTGGGAGTTTAATGGCAGGGGAGAGAGCATGAATACAACAGAGAGGAGGATCAACACTTTTAACAGAGCCATTTTTGTCAGTTATTACATGTGGGTTTGCATGTGGATTTATATTAAATAGCATTATCTTTAACACGTGTCTGGTTGAAGTCAGCAGAAGAATTAGAGGTAACAAGTCAAAGCAAGGCCTATTCCAATTTGCGATTAATGCCGCATCCACTTGGATCATCAATGTTCCAATAATCCACTTTAGGCGCCAATCGCGCAACTTGTGAGTGTCAGTTAACCTCCTTCGTTAAGACCTTGATTGTAGCCTCTCTTGAAACAACAATGCTAAAGAGCCAACAGTTGGCTCCGTTATGGAGCCAACAACCAATGAGACAATTCCATGTGGGGCTGTCCCACAATACTTTAATGTGGGCAGCCCATATGAAGTTGTCCAATTGGTTGTATGCTCCATAACGGAGCCAACTGTTGACTCCTTAGCATTAATGTGATTGAAAAACCAATCAGTTCATATCTATTTTGGAGGGGAATCAATCAGTTAATATCAATCATGATGACTCTCCCTAAGTTCCCTAAGTTCCAGGTTAAACTTCTTCCCTCTTCACAATTTTCACTCCAGAAACACATCTTACCCACAGCCTCGGTCGATTTTCAGTCCTCCACCATACCTCAGCCATCGCGAGCCTTTGTCTGCCATTGCCGAGACCTTCGCCCCCATGTTGAGCAGAAGCAGGCAATCGGAGAGCAGATCCCGTCCGTCCCGTTCGATCGCTATCTGACGCCAGAAACTTCAGTCGTCTATATCTCGAACCGAGCTGCTCGTAACAACTCCACGCATGGCTGAGTTGAACATTTGTAGCCCTGTCAGCCGCGTCGTCTCGAGCCGAGTCATCATTGACGTCTGCTCGCCTCCGGTTTCCACACCTCGACCATCCACTGCAAGAGCCGACCCATAGCAGCCCATCGCGAGAGCCCATTTGCCGAGATCCGTCGAAGCGCGAGCAGCCACGCCGGCGCCCGACCACCACCTGTCATCCCGCCGGCGATTGCCGTTTCGTTCAGACGCCGACCGCCCTTCACTTTCCCGCTGAGCCCCGTCAATGTTAGTTAGTCTCCAGTTGCCGCTCACGTCCTAGCCGTTTGAATCTGTTGTGTCCAGCCACAAATGTGGACTTTGGAGAAAAAGTAGCTGCTGAAAAATGGTGATGATAAGTCCTAGCCACCTTAGAATTTAATGAGCCGTATTGCATTAATTTTTGTGTGCTGTCTTCTTTGAATTTTGCAGCAATTTTCCTCTATAAATAGAGAAAGGAACGAGCAGATGAATACACCAGAGAAAAAAAAACCAAATACAAGAAAGAAAAGAGAGAGCGAGAGAGCTATTAGAAATTTAGCTTTTGTGTGTATTTAAGTTGTGAGTTGTGAGTGAGTTTGCGAGTATTTTGTAAACACGAGTGTTTTATTTTCTCCTAATAAAATATCTGCAGTAGTCCAGAGACGTAGGCATTATTGGCCGAACTCCGTTATCAATTTGTTGTGTCCAATTTTTCTTTTTTATTTCACTTTTATAAATTCGACTTCATGGAAATTTCAGCGTATTTTTCCCAACAACTGGTATCGGAGCCAGATTGTTAATTCTGTATTTTTTTTTTTTGTGTCGGTTACTATTCCGTGAGTAGTGAAAAAAAAGGAATAGTGCCAAATTTGTCAGCGCTACAAATTTTATCTACCGACGTGTTCTGAAACACGGTAGTTCACAAAAATTACAGAAACGATCCGGCAGAGAAGTCAGATCAGATACGAAGTGATGGCTGCAGACGAAGGAAAAATGAAAATCGAAAAGTTCGATGGTGCGGACTTTGGCTTCTGGAAGATGCAGATCGAGGATTATCTGTACCAGAAGAATATGTATCAACCACTCACGGGAAAGAAGCCAGAAGACATGAAGGAGGAAGAATGGAGTCTCCTTGACAGACAGGCCCTTGGAGCCATTCGGCTGACGTTATCCCGTAATGTTGCTTTTAACATTGCGAAAGAAAAGACAACAGCAGGCCTCATGAAGGCTCTTTCCAACATGTACGAGAAACCATCAGCCTCAAACAAAGTTCATTTGATGAGGCGATTTTTCAACTTGCGTATGACCGAAGGTGCTTCGGTGGCACATCATCTCAATAAGCTCAACACCGTTACAACTCAGTTGAGTTCAGTTGAGATCGAGTTCGATGATGAAGTACGGGCTTTAATACTTTTGTCTTCCCTACCAGAAAGTTGGAATGCTACGGTCACGGCTGTGAGTAGCTCGTCGGGAAGCAATAAGTTGAGATTTGATGATGTCCAAAATTTGGTTCTCAGTGAAGAGATCCGACGGAGGGAGTCGGGTGAACCATCGACCTCTTCTGTGTTGCATACAGAGTCAAGAGGAAGAAGTTCAACCAAAGAAAGCAGGCACAACAAATCAAAGGGAAGGAGGTCCAAGTCCAGAAATCATCGTAATTCCCAAAACTCGAAGTCTATCGAGTGCTGGAATTGTGGGAAGACCGGGCACTACAAAAACCAGTGCAAGAGTGAACCAAAGAACCAGGAGGCAAAGGAAGAGGCAAATGTTGCTTCAGTCTCAGGAGGAGACTTGCTGATATGTTCTTTGGAGAACAGAGAAGAGTCTTGGGTGTTAGACTCTGGAGCATCCTTTCATGCTACCTCACAGAAGGAACTATTCGAAAACTATGTTCCTGGAAATCTTGGTAATTTTACCTTGGTAATGAGCAATCATGTGAGGTTGTAGGCAAAGGTGCGATAAAAATCAAGTTGAACGGGTCTGTATGGGAATTGAAAAACGTAAGACATATTCCCGACCTAACGAAGAATTTAATCTCGGTGGGCCAGCTAGTCAGTGAAGGCTACACGACAATCTTCCACGGAGACGATTGGAAGATTTCAAAGGGTGCGATGACAATTGCTCGAGGCAAAAAGAGTGGTACTCTTTACAAGACAACAGGAGCATGTCATCTGATTGCAGTTGCAGCAAAAGAAAGTCCCAATCTATGGCACCAAAGACTTGGGCATATGAGTGAAAAGGGGATGAAGATCATTCACTCAAAAGGAAAATTACCAGGCCTTCAGTCAATAGAAATTGACATGTGTGAAGATTGTATACTTGGAAAGCATAAAAGAGTCAGCTTTCAGACAAGTAGAAGAACCCCAAAGAAGGAGAAGCTTGAGCTCATCCACTCAGATGTTTGGGGCCCAACGACTGTCCCATCCGGCAGTGGGAAGCAATACTTCGTGACCTTTATCGATGATCACTCCAGAAAAGTATGGGTTTACTTTCTGAAACACAAGTCAGAAGTATTTGAAGCTTTCAATATTTGGAAAGCTATGGTGGAAAATGAGACAAGCTTAAAGATCAAGAAGCTCAGATCCGACAATGGTGGTGAATACGTAACCACCAGATTCAAGAAGTTTTGCTATGAGCACGCGATCAGAATGGAGAGAACCGTGCCTGGTACGCCTCAACACAATGGTGTAGCTGAGCGTATGAATCGAACGTTGACTGAAAAAGCCAGAAGCTTGCGGATGCAGTCAGGCTTACCGAAGGAGTTCTGGGCAGAAGCAGTCAACACAGCAACTTACTTGGTCAACCGAAGTCCATCGGTACCATTGGATTACAAGTTACCAGAAGAGGTATGGAGCGGAAAAGAAGTAAAACTCTCACATCTTAGAGTTTTCGGGTGTGTAGCATATGTGCACATCAGTGATCAAGGCAGAAACAAACTTGATCCAAAATCAAAGAAATGTACTTTCCTTGGTTATGGTGAAGATGAGTTTGGCTACCGTTTATGGGATGATGAAACCAAAAAGATGATCCGCAGCAGAGATGTCATCTTTAATGAAAGAGTGATGTACAAGGACCGGCATAACACAAGCGCCAGCAACTCAGAAGCGAGTGGGCCAGTTTATGCAGAGGTGGAAGATATCCCAGACATTCATGTAATAAGGAATCCTCGGTCAGAGGAATCAAATGAAGAAAGCGGTGAGCAATCAGAAGCGTCAACTCCAGCTCCTGTATTGAGAAGGTCCTCTCGGTCCCATGTGCCTAACAGGAGATACATGGACTACATGTTGTTAACTGATGGAAGAGAACCTGAAGATTATAAGGAGGCTTGTCAAACCACAGATGCGAGCAAGTGGGAGCTTGCCATGAAGGACGAGATGAAGTCCTTGATCTCAAATCAGACATGGGAACTAGTCAAGTTACCCATGGGAAAGAAAGCGCTTCACAACAAATGGGTGTCTCGGGTGAAGGAAGACCATGATGGTTCCAAGAGATACAAAGCTCGACTGGTTGTCAAAGGATTTCAGCAGAAAGAAGGAGTTGACTATACTGAAATCTTTGCTCCAGTTGTAAAGCTCAATACTATCAGGACTGTGCTAAGTATTGTGGCTAGTGAAGAGCTCTATCTAGAGCAATTAGACGTGAAGACTGCATTTCTTCACGGAGACCTAGATGAGGAGATCTATATGCACCAGCCTGAAGGTTTTTCAGAAGGAAAGAAGGATATGGTGTGCAAATTGAAGAAGAGCTTATACGGCCTTAAACAAGCTCCAAGACAGTGGTACAAAAAGTTTGAAAGTTTCATGCACAAGGAAGGCTTCCAGAAGTGCAATGCTGATCACTGTTGTTTCTTCAAGAAATATGAGTCCAGCTATATCATATTGCTACTTTATGTCGATGACATGTTAGTAGCAGGATCAAATATGGAAGACATCAGAAATTTAAAGATGCAGTTGTAAAAAGAATTTGACATGAAGGACTTAGGCCCAGCGAAGAAGATTCTTGGAATGCAAATCACGAGAGATAAGCAAAAGGGAGTTTTGCAGTTATCTCAGGCAGAGTACATCAACCGTGTTTTGCAGAGATTTAACATGGACAAGGCCAAACAAGTCAGTACACCTTTGGCTAGCCATTTTCGTCTATCCAAGGATCAGTCTCCTCAAACAAAAGAAGAAGAAGAGTTCATGGCAAAAATTCCTTATGCTTCAGCCATTGGAAGTTTGATGTACGCGATGGTCTGTATGAGGCCAGACATTGGCCATGCAGTGGGAGTTGTGAGCAGGTTTATGTCAAAACCAGGAAAAGCTCACTGGGAAGCAGTCAAATGGATTTTGAGATATCTACGGGGCACAACAGAAAAATGTCTGTATTTTAGAAAAGAAGATCTAAAGTTACAGGGCTACGTAGATGCAGATTTCGGAGGTGAAGTTGATCACCGAAGAAGCACCACCGGTTATGTTTTTACTGTCGGAGCTACAGCTGTTAGTTAGATGTCGCGGGTACAAAAGATTGTTACTCTATCCACTACAGAAGCTGAGTATATAGCAGTGATAGAAGCCAGTAAAGAATTGATATGGCTTCAAGGATTGTTAACAGAGTTGGATTTCACTCAAAAAGAGAGTGTCTTACACAGTGACAGTCAAAGTGCAATACATCTGGCAAAGAACTCAGTGTTTCACTCCAGAACTAAGCACATTGATATACGTTATCATTTCATCAGATCTCTTCTTGAGGATGAAGTGTTGACTTTGAAGAAGATTGTAGGAAGCAAGAACCCAGCAGATATGCTAACGAAGGTGGTGACCATTGACAAACTGAAGTTGTGCTCAACTTCAGTTAGCCTGCTAGAATAACAGACCGAATGAGACTACTGCAGTTAATCAAGGTGTGAGGACAAATTGAAATCAGTCCTCAAGTGGGAGATTGTTGTGTCCAGCCACAAATGTGGACTTTGGAGAAAAAGTAGCTGCTGAAAAATGGTGATGATAAGTCCTAGCCACCTTAGAATTTAATGAGCCGTATTGCATTATTTTTTGTGTGCTGTCTTCTTTGAATTTTGCAGCAATTTTCCTCTATAAATAGAGAACGGAACGAGCAGATGAATACACCAGAGAAAAAAACCAAATACAAGAAAGAAAAGAGAGAGCGAGAGAGCTATTAGAAATTTAGCTTTTGTGTGTATTTAAGTTGTGAGTTGTGAGTGAGTTTGCGAGTGTTTTGTAAACAAGAGTGTTTTCTTTTCTCCTAATAAAATATCTGCAGTAGTCCGGAGACGTAGGCATTATTGGCCGAACTTCGTTATCAATTTGCTGTGTCCAATTTTTCTTTTTTATTTCACTTTTATAAATTCGACTTCATGGAAATTTCAGCGTATTTTTCCCAACAGAATCGCCGCCACCATTATCGACGACTCGCCGCCATCCTTCAGCCGTTGTTTCGTCGATTGACCGCTGACTGTACCAGCCTTCAGCAGTCCGTTTCACTCAAGCCGACCTTTCACCCGATTCGCTCACGTTTTAAGCCAACCAAGGCGGGGTCCGACCACCATTTGAGTCGCTGCTGCCACTTTTCCTTAAACCACCGTCGATGCCTGCTCTTCAGCCGCCGTCTGCCGGCCAGAACATCATCACGCCGTCGCCGTTAAAACGCCGCCCCTCAGCCACTGATGTCTTGTGCGTCGCGCCTCGCCAAATCGACCTCCTCAGATCCAATTGAAGAGTAATTTCTGAAATTTGGGAGTTTGAGAAAGAGCAGCGAATGGATTCGGATTTGGTGAGAATTTTAGAGGAAGAAATCAATTGAATGAGATATTTGGGGGACCGGCCATTGTGAAGAAGAGGAGAGAGAAAAATGACGGGGAAAAGGAAGCAGAAAGGGGGAAAGGAGAAGGGAAACGAAAAAGAAAGGGCATTACTATTTACGCCCCCCTTATTACTAGTCACCGCTCCCTTTGGACGATTTTGCCCTTTTCATTTCTTGTGTCCGCAAGATGTCCAGCAGTTCAGAGGTAAAAAAACATTTGTCCGGCCAGCTTTACCGCACGGCACCGGCGGTGTCCGGCCGACCGGACCGGACAATCACATAGGCGTCCGGCCGGTTCGACCTGACACGCCCCTGGCCGTGCGAAAATTGTGGCCGTACGGACCGGTCGTTGTACTAACCGATCGGTCGTACGGACGACTTTGTGTCCGGCCGCGATGGCCGGTTAGACCCGGTTCGGCCGGTCCGACCGGCCGGACATCAATTTTTTTATTTTTTATTTTTTTTTTTATTATTTTTAAATGCTTTAAAATTATTAAATACATTGCAGGTGTCTTTAGAAGATTTTGGAGGAGATGGTGTTGATTACCGTTCTGCTTTCAATACAACTACGCTGTTTATTAGTGATGTGGAGGCTATTAAGGATGCAAAAAGTACGGCAATTATGAATGGTTTCTTTTTGACCATTTCGAAACACAAAAAACCCGGAAGGCTGAAGATCTTGAAGTGCGATCGAGGCGAACGTTATAGAGGCAAAAACGTAGATATGAATAAAGCTGTTTCGAGACATTCAAAAACGAAAGCGTGCCAGTGCCCTTTTGAGATACAAGTAAAGCGTGTTGCCAGATCGACATACTGGATGATCCACACGAGTCAAGACGAAACGAAGGGATACCATAATCATTCATTTGCTGTGTATCCTGAGGGCCATCGACAGTCGAGCGACATAAACGTGTCATCCAAAAAAATTATTCGTGAAATGACTGTTGCGCATGTGACACCAGCAAATATTTTGGCCGCCGTCTAGGAAAAAAATCCACACGACCATGCTAATCGGCGACATATATATAACTATAGAGACTGGTTGCGTAAGGAAAGTTTTGAGGGTATGGACGTTCTTACCCAACTTCTACATTTGGCAAACAGCAGCAACTACATAGTTTATACAAATGTCGATCCGAATACAAATGCGCTGACACTCATATTCATGGCCCATCCTGATTCAGTGAGTCTATTCCGGACTTATTATTGGTTTGTCGGCATAGATTCGACGTACAAAACCAACAGGTATTTTAAATTTATAGATATGTTATTAGTATTAATTTAAATTTGTATTTTGGATTAGATTTAATGTGATTATAATTTATTTCTTTTGGTCTCATTTTCATAGGTACAAGATGCCGTTGGTCGAGATGATTGGCATGACGCCGTGCAACAGTAACTTTCTAATTGCGTATACCCTCATGAAGGACGAGAAAGAGGCCAGTTATGATTGGGTTCTCGACAAGTTGAGACTTCTCATAGGCTATACGATAAGAATTTATATGAAGTACATGATTAATTTAATTAGTATATAAACGTACTTTGTGCAATATGGTAAAAAAATTTGAGGTTTTTTTTTGCGTGTCTCATTAATTTTTGACGCTGCTCAGGTCCATCCTAATGCGGTTGTCAGTGACAGGGAGTTGGGCTTATTGACTCCTATTAGGAGGCATTTTTCCCAATCTGCCCACTTACTCTGCACGTGGCACATCAACAAGGATGTGGAAAACAAAGTGTACAACTTGTTTGGGAAAGATAAAAATTTATCTGAGAGGTTCTTGCGCGGTCGGTGGAAGTCGATTATGGATGCCAGTACGTCAGATGAGTACGACGCTGCCGTAGCTAAATTGAATGCAAAATACGGGAATGATTCAAAAGTGGTACAATATCTCGAGTAGACGTGGCTAGGCCACAAGGAGAAGTTTGTGAAAGTCTGGACGAACCAAGTAACACATTTTGGCAACACAACTACCTGTAGGGTAGAAAGTGCCCACTCTGTGTTGAAGCAGTGGCTTTGCACGTCGACTGGCGCGCTAGATACAGTGTGGCATAAGATTGATAAGGAGATCGAGTCTCAATTGACTGAAATCAGGTACATTCCTCAAATATATTATATATAAGTATAATATATTATATTATATAAGTATATTATATTATAATTTGTTTTGTAATGTATTAACAGGACAGCACTTGAGTCTTCGAGACTTAGGAAGAGTACGGCATATACGGGATTGACTTTCGCGTGCTTGACATTGAGAGTCTCGCATTACTGTATGAATTTATTGAACGATGAGCTAACAAGGATGCGAGACTTGAGCCATGAAGTTTACTTGCGCTGCGGCTGTGTATTGCCTACCACACATGAAATTCCTTGTGCATGTACGCTTCGTACAACACATGATTCTAAAATGGCGATTGGTATTGACATGATCCACGAGTTCTGGAAGACACTAGAGATGTTAGAACCAGGTAATTTGTGGTTAATGTTTATTTATAATTTTCTACTTTCTGATTCATTTTAAATTACACATTAAAGTATATTACTTTGAAAAAAAAAACAAGGTGCAGGCAGGTCACACGACTCGTGTGAATAGTGACACGGGTCATGTGACCCTCACACGACTCGTGTCACATGGTCACACGAGTCGTGTGCCTACTGAGGAGAATGGACGAAAAGCCACGGGGTTTTCACACGACTTGTGTGCCCAGTGACACGGGTCGTGTGACAATCACACGACTCGTGTCATCCGGTCACATGAGTCGTGTGCCTACTGAGGAGAGTGGATAAAAAGCCACGG